CAGCAGACAGGTTAGTGTGCTGTGATGACTCCAGTAGTGTGTGTTGTATCGCACACTGCAGAAGTGGTCACTGTTTACATTTTTTTACATTTTTCTTTTTTACTTTTTTAAATCTATACACTCCATTCAGGTCTGCTGCCATGCAGCAGCCTGTGGTGGGATCCATTACACTGCCATAAAATGCAGCATGTTAACACTTTATCGCAGCATAGTGCGCCGCATCACACACACATTGTGATATGAATAGGAAATATAGAAATCAATTGTTTTCTATGTGTCCTAGTATTGACCATGCAGTACATCACAGGTCACAGCTAGATGTTTGAACTTGCTCTTAGCCTAAATCAACCCCTAGGGTAATCCTTAACCTAATGGTGCTAAAACTGCAGCAGGTACAACGTTTAGGCATAACTGCAGCAGCCTACCAAATCCTCCTGTTATGGTCAAATCCCAGGCTATTCTGATAAAGCTCTGAAACATATAGGTAGTGTTGCAGCTTGTCATTACGTCACAATGATACCACTAACTTACTTTGACAGGTGGAAATGGTGACAGAAGAGGACAACAGTGGTACAGTAATAATGTGCTGATTGTTGCTCTCCTCTATTTTTAATGCTTCAATTTGTCAGAGTGAGGTAGTGACAGATGGTAGTGACTACAGAGAAGAGAGGCATGCTGCACCTACACTATTGGACATTGGATCTGGGACTACCAATCAACCATAATCTGGGGCCCCCCCCGGAAGAGCTTACCATCTATTAGGGGATACAGAAGGTGAAAGAGCATGCAGGCAATTATGATATAAAAGAGAGAGAAGGCAAACGTGCCTACCATCTATTAGGGTATAAGGGAGGGATACAGAGGGTGCAAGAGTTTAGAGTATATTAGGGTATAAGAGAAGATACAAAAGATGGAAGAGCTTACAATCTGTTGTTAGGGTGTAAGAGAGGGTACAGGAGATGGAAGAATTTACAAAATATTAGTGTATAAGGAAAGATACAAAATGGGAAGAGCCTATAGTCTATTAAGGTATACTTGAGAGATACATAAGTAGAAGATCTTACAAACTAGCATAGCACTCCTTCCCTTAAGGGAGGTATTCTGAATCACACCAAGCAGTGTGACAGGCTAACATTTCCATTTCAGGGTTGGGTTTTTGGTGTATGGTGGGAAAATTAGTTTTTATGATGTATTGCTGAACTCAATTCTAGTAGAGAGGTTTTAGGGGTGTTGAATACACAAAAAGAGTACAAAATAGGGCAGTTAGCAGCAGACCCTTTAAAAGCAGGCTCTTGGTGACCACTGACCCTATAGGAACAGCCAGACATATCTATGACCCTGTAAGTCACAGTCCTCCTTACATTGCAGTGGTTCTCTCTCTGATTTATCTGCCTCTTGACCCTTCCATAGCAGTCACAGGTACCTTGATTTATGGACAATGAATCCTTATAGCAATGTCCAGCAGTAGCTTCTACCCAGCTCCCCTGCGAAACAATACAGCGAAAAAAGATTCCTTCACAGATGATCAATCCCAAAACATTATTCATGTTCTCCACGAAGTACCAGGAGACCAACTTTTAAATTCTCACCAGGTGGTATAGAACCCCCACACTTCTGAGTAAGTGTCACCGAGGTGTTTCTGATGTTTGTTGGAGGTGTAACTCTGATAAGGGTACCATGCCACATACTTTCTGGTTGTGCCCGGCACTTCCACAATACTGGGCTACAGTGCAAAATTTACAGATTTTGACCTACCAAATGATTCCTCCTTTTTGTTGCACAATTCACAGACCCTACTCTTGTTCGGTGCTACGCCACCTTCTTGACACTGCCAAAACCTGCATTCTAACCTTTGGAGGAATTCTTCTCCTATATTAATGTGGATATAGAGTGGAGGAGATCAGCTATATGGAGGACCTCATCGCATCTCAAAATACAGGGTAACAATATATTAAAACCTGGTTTTACTGAAATTAGTTTATGAGCTCTGCTGAGGGCAAAGCGTTATTGACTTAGATCTTCATCCACATTTTAGACCATAAGATTATATCCTGGCTCAAAAACCCAGATAACTGGATAGCAACTTGCAAGGAATCTATCTACTTATTGTTTTTCTTTCCCCTTCTTGCCCTTTTCACCACCCTCTGGTTTTACCATCTTTATTATTTCTATTAGCCCAGTGTTTTACCTCTTTCCTCCCCTCTTTATTTGCTTCTCTTTCTTTCTTCTCCTATTAATCACAACCCCCTCGCAACTGTCCCTCCAACCCCTTCCAGTCCCTTCCCCTTTTTTTTCTCTTTCCTCCCCCATCTTTTTAGCTTAGTTTTGCTCTTCCACAGTTTTATATCCTAAAATTCTACACAGAGTATATTCTTCATGGCCTTATCAGCCTAACCTAGTTAGTGCCTTGCATTATGAATAGCAAACACTGACCATCTCTCTTAACCCCTTCATGACTGAGCTTGTTTTTAGTTTCTGTTCGTAAATGACTGACACACTTTTGACATTTTTGCTGTGTGATTCTTCCACGTCAGTAATATACTTTCTTACAAAGTGCACCCACACATATTATATATTGTTTTTTAGAGGACAGATAGGGCTACATATTTATATCACATATGTGTGTCTAACGCCTCACTTAGGACAAATTAAAAATATAACAAAAAGTGGAAAAAAAGTAAAAAAAAACACTTTTTTCCCAGTTTTGATTTGTAGTATTTTTTTTACAAAACCAGCACAGTAAAAAAAATGCAATAAATACATTCATTTATTTGTCCCTTATTTTATTTTATTTTTTACACATTTTTTTATTTTTTTTACACTTTTCACAATTTTTTTTTTTTTTACACTTTTCACTTTTTTTTTAACTTAAAAATGTTATTTTATTTATTTAATTATATCAAGCAGTCATTGTGAATTAATCTCACTGTTACTGCTTGATAAATTAATACATTTTTGGTTATTATCAGGCTGCTTCAAACTTCAGAACAGCCGATAATAAGTTAGTGACACTGATCCTGCAGCAGTTCAGGATTCAGCTGTCACTAAAGGTTTTCTGATTGTTGCAACAACGATCAGCAAACAAACATTCTTCTTTCAGGAATAGATACATTATAGGAATAGACACATTATGTATCTATTCATGAAAAAAAAAAAAAAAAGCCAGTATAGCTTGAGAGAGATATCTCTCGATCTATACGAGCTGTCAGAATGCCGGCAAAAGCCGGCATCTGTGTCCCTCTGCTTTGACTCTCAGACACCCGATATTAAGGTATCGGGTGTCTGAAAAAGGTTAACCCTTTCATTAATGAATGCCTCTGTAGTAAGGGCATCCATTAATGAATGTTAAAAGCTGATTCTCAGCAATTAACAGCCCTCTAAAGCAGCAAACAGTGTACGTGACAAGTCATTTGGTCCCTTTGTGGCTGGACGTACAGTGTACGTCTCCCGTTACGAAGGGGTTAAAGAGGCATGTACTACGACTATTAGAGATTCTAGTATGTATACTGCTCGACACCGCAATTCTATTATATTTGGTTTGTATAATGTACGCTACCTGAGATGATCACTAATTCTTGTTATTTGTATGTGCAATTTATAGACAGGAATATGACAGGTTTTACATTACAGTAGAGTTCTTCAAAGACACTAAGTTCTTATTTAGAGCATAGAGATAAGTTTAATGATTTAAAAAAAATTGTTTTTAATAAAAGAAATGTTGCAGGAAAAATATACAGAAAAAGATGCTACAAAAGAGACAAATATAACAGAGGGTAATTTATCAAAACTGGAGCAAACAAAATGTGGAGCAGTTGCCCATGGCAACGAATCAGCTTCTCTCTTTAGTTTGTTCAGTTAAGATTTGAAAATGAAAGAATGAAGCTGATTGGTTGCCATGCAAAGCTGCTCCAGATTTTGTCTGCTCCAGTTTTGATAAATTCCCCCCTCAGTGTCTCCTATCATCAGGAATTCTCTACCCCAATCTGTCCGCTTATCTCCTACTCTGTCCGCCTTTAGGTGATCCTTAAAAACTCATCTCTTTAGGTAAGCTTTTCCCACCTCAACATAATAGCTGTCTTTTTACATCTTCCATTAACTCATCCCACACAATTATTACCTTTTCTAGCACCTGCCCCTTCTACTAGATATTAAGCTCTCATGATCAGGGCCCACCCAACCCTTCTGTATTGAAATTGCATTGTAACTGTACAGTCTCCTTCCATTTTGTAAAGCACTGCACAAACTGTTGGTGCTATATAAATCCTGTATAATATGTGTAATATTATTAACATATATTTTTTGCATTGGTACATGTCACCTCTTGTTGTGCCAAGCTCCCTGTGCCCTTGGTTTGACAATCCCTTGCCTATTAGTCTTAAAAATGTTCAGAACTGATTTTCAAGTTTTTTATCCCACTGACTTCAATAAGTTTCATATTAGAGTTTGCAGTTTGGGAAGTTTACAATTGCCAAAGGCACCCATGAATTGTACCCAAGCATAAATGACCATCACTTCTGGTGAGTATAAGAACTATGTTTTTTCCCCCCATAAGTTAATTTAACACACTAATAAAGTAAACCATCAAGTAAAGAACCATATAGCTACACAGAGTTACCCCCAGTTCCCAGCCACGGCATATATTTATTCAATGTGGATTTGCCAAGAGTGCATCAACTCCTATACAGATACATTAATCTAGCAGGGTTATTCACAAAAGGGTGGTGAAGAGTTTGGAGAAGGCAGGAGAAGTGAACAATCTAGGACAACATAGCTGATTTGGAAAAATTCTCCAATTCAGCTAACTTTCCAGTTCAGCTATGTTGTCCTAGATTGTTCACTTATTCCGGCTTTTTTGTTTTGCACAATATTTTATTTACCTAATTACATGCCCAAAAGATCATTTGTAGGTAACAGGTTCCCTTTAAACTACTAGGCACATGTTCAATCTTCTGTTTTCAGGCAAACATAGAAAATGTACCTTTCATACCTATCATACTTACCATATATGGATTTGGCATTGGGTTTTGATATCCCATTCAAGCTGAAATAAATCCAAGAATAAAAAGTCAATAAAAGAAAACCAATATGTGAAACAATAAAACTACTTGCCAATCATTACTATAATTGATTTTTTTCCCTTAATTGATTTTTGTAATTACCATAAAAATCAACTTCTAGGAATTCTAAGGGACACAGGATTCAGTTATTCAGAGATAACTGGGTTATAATGCCATCTTCAGAAGGAATTGCACTGGCAAACAAAAAATCAATTGGCCAGCCAGGTGTAACTCCTCCCAGCCCCTCCATGTTTCAGTTTTGTAGATCACAAACATGGGGGGTTGGGACCTGTGTCCCCTTAATAGACACCAAGACCTGATTTTACTGTAAGCACAAAGATACTGTTTTCTTTCTCATTGATTAAGGAGCACAGGATTAATTTATTGTGAATAGTTGGAATTCCAAGAGCTATCCAACTGAGGGGTGAGCAACAGTAACAAAACACTAATAGGCCCACATAACGTAGCAGTAAAACTAGGGGTAGCCTGCAGCTCAAAGAGCTTTATGCCCAAATCTGGTATCAGATGAGACCGCTATATCCACCTAGTAAAACTTAGAGGCTGTGGGAACAGAAGACCAGGTGAAAGCCTAGAATATCTGGAAAACATCTGACTGCTGCTGTAAAGCACTCACAGACCTAGTAGAATGTGCTTTAAACTTTTGTCAGTGGATAAAATATCACCTCTCTGATACCGTATATTGGATTACATACCAAATAGTTGGGCTATATTACTTCCATTGCCTATTGTCTGATTTTGGAGTTTTATGAGTTTCATTGATTGAGACAATTGATTACCACCACCCACCACATGGATACCGTGTATATTAACAAAGGACATGTGTATGATTTTTTTCTATATAGGCCCATACCAGGAACCCAACTGGTCTAACATGCGTTGTGTTTTTACAGGGAGGGGTTTTGTTATTGTTGGGGGGGGCATATGTGTGCACATTTGGTAAATTATGGTTATATATTTTCTTGAAATAAATTTACTTTTTATACTTTATGCTAGTCTTATTTGAAGAATAGTTATTTGATCATATGGTTTCTCAGCTGATCTCTGATGTGTAGACAAATGGGAACCTGTTTCTTCCATATTCATTTAGAACACAGATATAACAGGTGACAAGGCAGGAAGTGTTTACCATTGTATAATTCAGTTTATATTTTGACATGTTTTGTTGATCCATCCAACTTCTACCTTTGGTTCCCCTATTTTTTACATGTCAGTATAAAGAAGCTCCCAAATCAGATATAAGAATGGTGGAGAGGCAAACCGCCAATAGCACAAATGGACTGAAGATGACGGACAACACATACAGTAAGGTCGTTTCCACAGGGAAGTGGGGGTAGGAAACTGAAGAGGAAAGAAGACCCCATCCGACGTAAAGGACAAAGCATCATGATCGAAAGCTCTGAAGTCCGACACTCAACGAAAAGAGACCAGGCAAAGCAAAGTTGTCAACTTTGCGAACAATTGTTTCAAAGAGAAGGAGTCATTGTCCGGCCTGTCACACAAGAAGTCCAACTCTTGTTGTACGAAGGAGTTGACAGAGTAAGGGATGCCTGATGATCGGCAAGCCAGCCACAGGGACTTGGCCGCAGAGATGCATGAGTGGAAGATATTGACCGTGCAGTAAGACTTGCCCTCAGCAAAAAGGTTGGTAAGAAATTGACCACATCCGTTGCAGGAGCCGTAAAGGGATCAATTTGCCTAGCCACACACCAATCGTCCCATCTGTTCCAGGCAGAACGATAGCTAGGTCGGATACCTGGAGCCCAAGACTCTCGGAGGAAGGATCGATCTGTAGGTAATAAGCCCCACAGATCCCAGGAACCCAGGAAATCCCCCAAGCCATGAGACGAAGACGTGCCTAAAGCACCATTGGGGGGGGGGGGGTCCCTAAAAAAAAAAAAAAAAAGCCAGTATAGCTTGAGAGAGATATCTCTCGATCTATACGAGCTGTCAGAATGCCGGCAAAAGCCGGCATCTGTGTCCCTCTGCTTTGACTCTCAGACACCCGATATTAAGGTATCGGGTGTCTGAAAAAGGTTAACCCTTTCATTAATGAATGCCTCTGTAGTAAGGGCATCCATTAATGAATGTTAAAAGCTGATTCTCAGCAATTAACAGCCCTCTAAAGCAGCAAACAGTGTACGTGACAAGTCATTTGGTCCCTTTGTGGCTGGACGTACAGTGTACGTCTCCCGTTACGAAGGGGTTAAAGAGGCATGTACTACGACTATTAGAGATTCTAGTATGTATACTGCTCGACACCGCAATTCTATTATATTTGGTTTGTATAATGTACGCTACCTGAGATGATCACTAATTCTTGTTATTTGTATGTGCAATTTATAGACAGGAATATGACAGGTTTTACATTACAGTAGAGTTCTTCAAAGACACTAAGTTCTTATTTAGAGCATAGAGATAAGTTTAATGATTTAAAAAAAATTGTTTTTAATAAAAGAAATGTTGCAGGAAAAATATACAGAAAAATATGCTACAAAAGAGACAAATATAACAGAGGGGAATTTATCAAAACTGGAGCAAACAAAATGTGGAGCAGTTGCCCATGGCAACGAATCAGCTTCTCTCTTTAGTTTGTTCAGTTAAGATTTGAAAATGAAAGAATGAAGCTGATTGGTTGCCATGCAAAGCTGCTCCAGATTTTGTCTGCTCCAGTTTTGATAAATTCCCCCCTCAGTGTCTCCTATCATCAGGAATTCTCTACCCCAATCTGTCCGCTTATCTCCTACTCTGTCCGCCTTTAGGTGATCCTTAAAAACTCATCTCTTTAGGTAAGCTTTTCCCACCTCAACATAATAGCTGTCTTTTTACATCTTCCATTAACTCATCCCACACAATTATTACCTTTTCTAGCACCTGCCCCTTCTACTAGATATTAAGCTCTCATGATCAGGGCCCACCCAACCCTTCTGTATTGAAATTGCATTGTAACTGTACAGTCTCCTTCCATTTTGTAAAGCACTGCACAAACTGTTGGTGCTATATAAATCCTGTATAATATGTGTAATATTATTAACATATATTTTTTGCATTGGTACATGTCACCTCTTGTTGTGCCAAGCTCCCTGTGCCCTTGGTTTGACAATCCCTTGCCTATTAGTCTTAAAAATGTTCAGAACTGATTTTCAAGTTTCTTATCCCACTGACTTCAATAAGTTTCATATTAGAGTTTGCAGTTTGGGAAGTTTACAATTGCCAAAGGCACCCATGAATTGTACCCAAGCATAAATGACCATCACTTCTGGTGAGTATAAGAACTATGTTTTTTCCCCCCATAAGTTAATTTAACACACTAATAAAGTAAACCATCAAGTAAAGAACCATATAGCTACACAGAGTTACCCCCAGTTCCCAGCCACGGCATATATTTATTCAATGTGGATTTGCCAAGAGTGCATCAACTCCTATACAGATACATTAATCTAGCAGGGTTATTCACAAAAGGGTGGTGAAGAGTTTGGAGAAGGCAGGAGAAGTGAACAATCTAGGACAACATAGCTGATTTGGAAAAATTCTCCAATTCAGCTAACTTTCCAGTTCAGCTATGTTGTCCTAGATTGTTCACTTATTCCGGCTTTTTTGTTTTGCACAATATTTTATTTACCTAATTACATGCCCAAAAGATCATTTGTAGGTAACAGGTTCCCTTTAAACTACTAGGCACATGTTCAATCTTCTGTTTTCAGGCAAACATAGAAAATGTACCTTTCATACCTATCATACTTACCATATATGGATTTGGCATTGGGTTTTGATATCCCATTCAAGCTGAAATAAATCCAAGAATAAAAAGTCAATAAAAGAAAACCAATATGTGAAACAATAAAACTACTTGCCAATCATTACTATAATTGATTTTTTTCCCTTAATTGATTTTTGTAATTACCATAAAAATCAACTTCTAGGAATTCTAAGGGACACAGGATTCAGTTATTCAGAGATAACTGGGTTATAATGCCATCTTCAGAAGGAATTGCACTGGCAAACAAAAAATCAATTGGCCAGCCAGGTGTAACTCCTCCCAGCCCCTCCATGTTTCAGTTTTGTAGATCACAAACATGGGGGGTTGGGACCTGTGTCCCCTTAATAGACACCAAGACCTGATTTTACTGTAAGCACAAAGATACTGTTTTCTTTCTCATTGATTAAGGAGCACAGGATTAATTTATTGTGAATAGTTGGAATTCCAAGAGCTATCCAACTGAGGGGTGAGCAACAGTAACAAAACACTAATAGGCCCACATAACGTAGCAGTAAAACTAGGGGTAGCCTGCAGCTCAAAGAGCTTTATGCCCAAATCTGGTATCAGATGAGACCGCTATATCCACCTAGTAAAACTTAGAGGCTGTGGGAACAGAAGACCAGGTGAAAGCCTAGAATATCTGGAAAACATCTGACTGCTGCTGTAAAGCACTCACAGACCTAGTAGAATGTGCTTTAAACTTTTGTCAGTGGATAAAATATCACCTCTCTGATACCGTATATTGGATTACATACCAAATAGTTGGGCTATAGTACTTCCATTGCCTATTGTCTGATTTTGGAGTTTTATGAGTTTCATTGATTGAGACAATTGATTACCACCACCCACCACATGGATACCGTGTATATTAACAAAGGACATGTGTATGATTTTTTTCTATATAGGCCCATACCAGGAACCCAACTGGTCTAACATGCGTTGTGTTTTTACAGGGAGGGGTTTTGTTATTGTTGGGGGGGGCATATGTGTGCACATTTGGTAAATTATGGTTATATATTTTCTTGAAATAAATTTACTTTTTATACTTTATGCTAGTCTTATTTGAAGAATAGTTATTTGATCATATGGTTTCTCAGCTGATCTCTGATGTGTAGACAAATGGGAACCTGTTTCTTCCATATTCATTTAGAACACAGATATAACAGGTGACAAGGCAGGAAGTGTTTACCATTGTATAATTCAGTTTATATTTTGACATGTTTTGTTGATCCATCCAACTTCTACCTTTGGTTCCCCTATTTTTTACATGTCAGTATAAAGAAGCTCCCAAATCAGATATAAGAATGGTGGAGAGGCAAACCGCCAATAGCACAAATGGACTGAAGATGACGGACAACACATACAGTAAGGTCGTTTCCACAGGGAAGTGGGGGTAGGAAACTGAAGAGGAAAGAAGACCCCATCCGACGTAAAGGACAAAGCATCATGATCGAAAGCTCTGAAGTCCGACACTCAACGAAAAGAGACCAGGCAAAGCAAAGTTGTCAACTTTGCGAACAATTGTTTCAAAGAGAAGGAGTCATTGTCCGGCCTGTCACACAAGAAGTCCAACTCTTGTTGTACGAAGGAGTTGACAGAGTAAGGGATGCCTGATGATCGGCAAGCCAGCCACAGGGACTTGGCCGCAGAGATGCATGAGTGGAAGATATTGACCGTGCAGTAAGACTTGCCCTCAGCAAAAAGGTTGGTAAGAAATTGACCACATCCGTTGCAGGAGCCGTAAAGGGATCAATTTGCCTAGCCACACACCAATCGTCCCATCTGTTCCAGGCAGAACGATAGCTAGGTCGGATACCTGGAGCCCAAGACTCTCGGAGGAAGGATCGATCTGTAGGTAATAAGCCCCACAGATCCCAGGAACCCAGGAAATCCCCCAAGCCATGAGACGAAGACGTGCCTAAAGCACCATTGGGGGGGGGGGGGGTTCCCTTCCGAGTTTTGTAAAAGAAAGGGGCTTCAGAGAAGATGGAGAGTGTCCACACACGAAAACTCCAGCACACTAGGGAACCAAGGCTGAGCCTGCCAGAGTGGAGTGACAAGGAGGGTCACCTGCTGAAGGCAGACATAATGTATCAGAAGAGAAATCATTGAAAAGGGAGGGAAGGAATACCTCCCCGTCTGCGGTCACATCTGAATGAAGGCAACGGACGCCAAGTGAGTCTGGATTGGGAAGCCAACTGAAGTACCATGGTAATTGATGATTCCAGCGGAAGCAAACAGGTCCAGTGTGCAGGGATTGTGGGCTGCGAGGAGAAGAGCAAAAACTTCCTTGCTCAGCATCCAGTCGCTGGCATCCCTCCAAAACTGGGAATCAATCTGCCGTGAAGTTGTCCACGCCCGGTAGCTATTCAGCAGAAAGAGATGCGCCTGCTGAAGCAAAAGTGGTAAAGGTCCTTTGTAGGGTAAATGGATGCTCCGATCGAGCACCCCCAAATGATTGATGTATCTCACTGAGGACAAGTTGTCCATGCACAGTAAGATAGAACAGTTCGAGAGATCCTTGGAAAAGCTGTAGACATCGAAGGAGCCAGCTGGTAGCTCCAAGCAGCTGATGTGTAAGGTAGTCTCTTCTTGGGTCCAGCAGCTTCCCGTAGCCAAGTCCGCACAGGTAGCGCCCCAGCCCCACAGGCTGGCATCAGATTCCAGAATAAAATCTGGCTGGGTACTGAAGATCGCCGTCCCATTCCAAGCATCCATGTGTCGAAGCAACCAAGTGAGTTTAACACGGACATCGTCTGCCATAGGGACCAGCTGAAGATGGATTGAGCTGAAGATACTTCGCCCTCAAGCACTGCATGGCTCCGTAATAAAGAGGCCCTGGAAAAATGGCCTAAATGGAGGAAGAAAGGGGACCCACGATCCTGGCCAAGAACTGCAGGGGGATATAAGCCAGATGAAGGGCCTTCCGGAGTTTCCTCTTGATGCTGGCAACTTTGGCTACGGGAAACCGGAGCAGGGTGTTGACAGAATCTATCTCGAAACCAAAAACTGTACTCATTGGAATGGTGTGTTGGAGGATTTTTTAAAGTGGATGATGAAACCCAAATCCTGCAACCAACAGATTACCCAAGAGAATGTGCAGTCTGGCTGGGCTGGCATTGAAAAGAAGAATATCGTCCAGTTAGACGATAGATCTTATACACTGGGAGTAGAAAAATGCCGTCACTGGTTTCATCAGCTTGGTGAACCACCAGGGGGTGGAGCTCAGCCCGAAAGCAAGGCAGGTGAACTGCCAGAGAAGGGACTGCCAACAAAAACTGAGAAAATGCCTGGAATCTGGGTGTATGGGGACAGTAAGATTGGCGTCTTTCAGATCCAAGTGAGTAAACCAATCCAGGTCCAGAAGCAGATCCCTGAGTAACAATAAACCACATGGTCATTCAAGGCCCAGAGACTGAAAACTAGGCGAAGTTCCCTGCTCTTCTTGCGCACCAGGAAGATGTTGCTGATAAACCCAGGGGAGTTTGGAGCTGGTTGAATCGCCCCTTTGGCACGTAGCTTGTGCAAATCTATGTGACTAAGTCGCTAAGCTGCTTGACTGCAGAAGAGAGGTTTGGGAGGTTGGACCTGGAGGGGAGGAGACACGAACTCGATTACGAAACCCTCCACTGCCTGGAGGACCCAGCTCTCTGAGGCAATGAGGTGCCAGCATTGGAGAAAATGAGCGAGCTGGTCAGCTACAGGGAGATCTGGTGTTGCCTCTGCCACGGAAGAATCCCCTAACCGAAGGGAAGGTGCTCTCTGGGTCGAAGGGTAAGAGGTTGATGGAAGAGGTTCTGGGATGCTTCTGGAACCTTGAAATTAGCCACTGCTGGTGGCACAGCCCCTTTGCCGACCAGCCCTGTGAAAAATACCAGGATGTTGAAAAGCACACTTGAGGGAATTTTCCACCTTATGCAAGGATGAAAATGAGCCAGCATGCTTCCTGAGTTCAGGGAGGAATGGTTCTCCAAAGAGCTTGCCATCGGCTTTAGCGCCCAACTCTTTCTCCATCATATCAGAGAGGCGGGCATCAATGCGCAGAAGTGCAGCCCATCGGCGTTCAGGGAGACAGCAGTGTTTGCATTGCCTAGCACACTGGATTTAATCAAAAATTAAACAAGGATCTAGGAGTGCCCTGTGCCAAGCCTCCTCCACAAGTACAAAGACCTGGGTAAGTGGTCCAGAGACATCAAGCAGTTTAACCTGTGCAGCCTTCAAGCACTTCTCTAAACCCCTGCTGGGGTCACGACCCTTCATATTCATGTAGGTGACCATGAACTGGTCAAATTTGGGCGTAGCCGAAACCTTGCCCAGGATAGTGGGTTCGAGCACATTCCGCCCGAAGGCGGTTACGGACCTCCTTGTCTAAGGGCTTGCGTAGCTAGACTGCCGGTATCTGGCAATATGGTCCAGAAGAGTCCACTCGGATGATCTAGGGTGGCGAATAAATCTGGGATCAAAAAGTGCTTCTCCAGTAGGATCAAGCGCCCAAATCGGCATCCGCCGGGTCCGTGCATTGCTGGGTAACAGCAGCCTTGACGCTTTGGGGCTCACCTGCGCCAATACCCAAGGGTGGTTGGGTTTCCTCATCCACATGAGGAGTTATGATGTGCCTCCCCTGAAGGAGATGCGCAAGATCACCGTTCCCCCGAAGCAGGGACTGAAGGGCCCTTAGCTCATTGGCAAAGCTCTTGCCTTTGTGTGCTGATCCACTGTACCCTTTCCAGAGGCATTTGCTCGCTCTATGAGAGCCCCCAGATGCTTGTGAAATAAATGAGTCGTCAGATTCCACTTCAGAGGAATGGGCTGTACGGACCTGAGGGGGTTCTGAGGTAATTGTGGGAGGTAAGGCAGTAGCCAGCCCCTCCCAAACGGTCACCAGAATCCAGGCCTGCAACACGGCCCCAAAGGGATGGTGGGCGTACTAGCTGGGTCCGCCATGATAGAGGTAGGGACTGGCGTAGAGATGGAAATAAACAACTCTAGTTATGGGAAAACCATGCAAAGAATGAGGTAAAATGTGTTTCATATATATACATAACATTTTTTTTTGTGTTGCAATAGAGGAAGGCAGGAAACCCGGTAGTGGGGCTCACCCACAAACAGTAGTCACAGGCACAGAGAAACACTGGTGCTCACCCAGATCTGTGGCAGAAGGAGGAAGCGTGGTCCGATGGGAGATTACCTAAAAGTCCCAGCAGAAGTAGAGCAGGGGAGGTGGCTTAAATCAGACCACGTCTCCAACAAAATGGTGGCCACTGCTGGTGAAGAGGGCTACAGAAAAATGGCGACGGAGGTGGCCCTAATAAGGTCTAAGCAGAGAGGCAGAAGTGTCCGCCTCCCGATCAGACCGCGGATACAACAAAATGGTGGCCACGGCTGATGGAGAAGACCAAAAGACGATGGCCATGCCTGTACAAGAGGGTGGCAGCCCCGGGACTAGGACCTGAGCCAGCGGGAAGAGACTGTGGGCAGAGAGAGAGAGAGGTGGCTAGGGAGATGTGACCAGAGGCTCTCCACACCTAGAATGGAAAGGTAGGAACAGGCTACCTGATAATAAGGGAAAGGAAGAGCGGGAAGGGGGCCGCTGCCACAGGATAACAAAGGTAGAAACATAAGGGAAACATGAAAGGGGAAGAAAACAATGCTAGGAAAAACTAAAATGAAGATACAAAAAAACAAAGTAATGCGAGATGTACGAGTCACTGACCTGCCATAAGGAGCAGCAAAGAGGAAAATACTTTGTGTGGGCGGACTTTATAACATGATGTGTACTACCATTGGTTATTCCGTTCTTCTGTTATGTTTTTTCTTTGCTGCTATGGTCAGTAAAGCAAGTTAAGCAAAATTTGAAGCCTCCTGTCTTGCCATAAAATCACTACATGTCAGAAGTCAGTCATAGACAGTCAAAACAGAAAAAAACAAAGTCTGAGGCGCAACTGCCCTTGGAGTTGAATAGGTGAGGGTATGGCAGGGGTTAAATGGGCTGGGGCATGCAGGTTAAATGCTGCCCGAGAAGCAGTTTCATAGATATTTTTCCCTCCGTAATGTGATCAATATCAGGGGTGGAGGGAGAAATAAAAACAAAAAACAGAAGGGGTGCACATGAAATTGGAGGCAAGTTGAACGGTGTGTGGTGCATATATCAACTCACCGCGAGGTTCTTGGGGAAGTGTTGTCATCGACTACGGGGTTCCTGTTGGAGGCAGCGTCCGGCGGTCTCTTCTGGGACTGGGTGCAGGGATTCAGATGCCGGGTCGGGGTGCGATTCTATCGGATGCCTGTGTGTGGGACGTGCTGCTGGGCTGCTGGATTTTTTTCTGTTTTGCACAGAAGTCAGTCAGCCTGCTATCACAAAGGATACAAGCAGAGAATATGCCACTGACACTGAAAGATTAACTGAAGACTGCAGCAGTCGCTGACAATACCTTGGAGGGAAAAGCTCCACCTCATCAAGTGTACACAGAATACAGACATTTTTTAATTATTGTGAACATTAGTAGGGATGAGCCGAACACCCCCGTGTTCGGTTCTA